GAGAGAGACGTGAGCAGAGAGAGAGACGTGAGCAGAGAGAGAGGGACACGAGCAGAGAGAGAGACGTGAGCAGAGAGAGAGAGACGTGAGTCCGCGTGTCTATGGTCCGCGCTCGGAGCCCAGACGGCAGTGCGTTCACTGAGCTGTCAGAGCGGGGGTCACAGCAGCTGCTCTCGGGGCCAGAGCGGAGGATGTAACGTAACGTTCGGTTTATCAAAACATATCACAATATTTAACGTATAACACTAGTGAATTTCACCTAGATTTTTTCAGACATTAAAGACAAGATGTTATATAATAATTGTTTAATGAAAAAACAATTTTGCCACAAGCAACCAAAAGATGTGCCTCAGACAAGAATCGAACCTGGGTTCTCCAGGTCCCTGTATTTAATGCTATCCATTCGGCCAACAAAGCACCTCTGGGCTAGACAGGTTTGCACGCAGTCTTATACCTGAGCGTCTAAGTCGCTGGCAGAGCTAAAGCGGACTTAGCCTGCCACCTTGTGGCGATAAGATGTACTATTTTTCACGCAGCTGCGTGATTCCCGAGAAGCGTGAATGAAGACGACAAAACGGAATGGGACCTGTACTGTCATGAATTGCATACTGGCATCCAACAACTGTGATTCTATGTATTTGAACTGATTCTGTTGTAAAAGTGAATTTCATGCAGAAAACCACTTGAAACGCTTAAAACAGGCCAGAAACATCATGAATTGCATACTGGCAGCCAACAACTGTGATTCTATGTATTTGAAGTGATTCTGTTGTAAAAGTGAATTTCATGCAGCAAACCACTTGAAATGCTTAAAACAGGCCAGAAACATCATGAATTGCCTACTGGCAGCCAACAACTGTGATTCTATGTATTTGAACTGATTCTGTTGTAAAAGTGAATTTCATGCAGCAAACCACTTGAAACGCTTAAAACAGGCCAGAAACATCATGAATTGCATACTGGAAGCCAACAACTGTGATTCTATGTATTTGAACTGATTCTGTTGTAAAAGTGAATTTCATGCAGCAAACCACTTGAAATGCTTAAAACAGGCCAGAAACATCATGAATTGCATACTGGCATCCAACAACTGTGATTCTATGTATTTGAACTGATTCTTTCGTTAAAGTGAATTTCATGCAGCAAACCACTTGAAACGCTTAAAACAGGCCAGAAACATCATGAATTGCATACTGGCAGCCAACAACTGTGATTCTATGTATTTGAACTGATTCTGTTGTAAAAGTGAATTTCATGCAGCAAACCACTTGAAATGCTTAAAACAGGCCAGAAACATCATGAATTGCATACTGGCATCCAACAACTGTGATTCTATGTATTTGAACTGATTCTGTTGTTAAAGTGAATTTCATGCAGCAAACCACTTGAAACGCTTAAAACAGGCCAAAAACATCATGAATTGCATACTGGCAAACCAACAACTGTGATTCTATGTATTTGAACTGATTCTGTTGTAAGAGTGAATTTCACGCAGCAAACCACTTGAAACGCTTAAAACAGGCCAGAAACATCATGAATTGCATACTGGCAGCCAACAACTGTGATTCTATGTATTTGAACTGATTCTGTTGTAAAAGTGAATTTCATGCAGAAAACCACTTGAAACGCTTAAAACAGGCCAGAAACATCATGAATTGCATACTGGCAGCCAACAACTGTGATTCTATGTATTTGAACTGATTCTGTTGTAAAAGTGAATTTCATGCAGCAAACCACTTGAAACGCTTAAAACAGGCCAGAAACATCATGAATTGCATACTGGCATCCAACAACTGTGATTCTATGTATTTGAACTGATTCTGTTGTTAAAGTGAATTTCATGCAGCAAACCACTTGAAACGCTTAAAACAGGCCAGAAACATCATGAATTGCATACTGGCAGCCAACAACTGTGATTCTATGTATTTGAACTGATTCTGTTGTAAAAGTGAATTTCATGCAGCAAACCACTTGAAACGCTTAAAACAGGCCAAAAACATCATGAATTGCATACTGGCAAACCAACAACTGTGATTCTATGTATTTGAACTGATTCTGTTGTAAGAGTGAATTTCACGCAGCAAACCACTTGAAACGCTTAAAACAGGCCAGAAACATCATGAATTGCATACTGGCATCCAACAACTGTGATTCTATGTATTTGAACTGATTCTGTTGTAAAAGTGAATTTCATGCAGCAAACCACTTGAAACGCTTAAAACAGGCCAGAAACATCATGAATTGCATACTGGCAGCCAACAACTGTGATTCTATGTATTTGAACTGATTCTGTTGTAAAAGTGAATTTCATGCAGCAAACCACTTGAAATGCTTAAAACAGGCCAGAAACATCATGAATTGCATACTGGCATCCAACAACTGTGATTCTATGTATTTGAACTGATTCTGTTGTTAAAGTGAATTTCATGCAGCAAACCACTTGAAACGCTTAAAACAGGCCAAAAACATCATGAATTGCATACTGGCAAACCAACAACTGTGATTCTATGTATTTGAACTGATTCTGTTGTAAGAGTGAATTTCACGCAGCAAACCACTTGAAACGCTTAAAACAGGCCAGAAACATCATGAATTGCATACTGGCAGCCAACAACTGTGATTCTATGTATTTGAACTGATTCTGTTGTAAAAGTGAATTTCATGCAGAAAACCACTTGAAACGCTTAAAACAGGCCAGAAACATCATGAATTGCATACTGGCAGCCAACAACTGTGATTCTATGTATTTGAACTGATTCTGTTGTAAAAGTGAATTTCATGCAGAAAACCACTTGAAACGCTTAAAACAGGCCAGAAACATCATGAATTGCATACTGGCATCCAACAACTGTGATTCTATGTATTTGAACTGATTCTGTTGTTGAAGTGAATTTCATGCAGCAAACCACTTGAAACGCTTAAAACAGGCCAGAAACATCATGAATTGCATACTGGCAGCCAACAACTGTGATTCTATGTATTTGAACTGATTCTCGTTGTAAAAGTGAATTTCATGCAGCAAACCACTTGAAACGCTTAAAACAGGCCAGAAACATCAGCAATTATCGTGGGATCACACTCCTCAGCCTCCCCGGTAAGGTCTACTCCAAGGTACTGGAGAGGAGGCTACGGCCGATGGTCGAATCTCGGATCCAGGAGGAGCAGTGTGGTTTTCGTCCCGGTCGCGGAACACTGGACCAGCTCTACACTCTCCATCGGTTACTTGAGGGTTCATGGGAGTTTGCCCAACCTGTCCACATGTGCTTTGTGGATTTGGAGAAGGCGTTCGACTGTGTTCCCCGGGTTGTCCTTTGGGGGGTTCTCCGGGAGTATGGGGTCCGGGGTCCTCTGCTGAGGGCCGTCCGGTCCCTGTATGACCGGAGTCAGAGCTGTGTTCGCATTGCCGGCAGTAAGTCAGACCTGTTCCCGGTGCATGTTGGCCTCCGCCAGGGCTGCCCTTTGTCACCGGTTTTGTTCACTGTATTCATGGACAGAATTTCTAGGCACAGCCAGGGGCCGGAGGGGGTCCGGTTCGGGGACCACAGGATTTCATCTCTGCTGTTTGCGGACAATGTTGTCCTGTTGGCTCCAACGAACCAGGACCTGCAACATGCACTGGGACGGTTTGCAGCCGAGTGTGAAGCGTCTGGGATGAGAATCAGCACCTCCAAATCCGAGGCCATGGTGCTCAAGTGGAGGAGTTCAAGTATCTCGGGGTCTTTTTCACGAGTGAGGGAAGGATGGAGCTTGAGATTGACATGCGGATCGGTGCAGCGTGTGCAGTGATGCGGTCGCTGTATCGGACCGTCGTGGTGAAGAGGGAGCTGAGCCAAAAGGCAAAGCTCTCAATTTACCGGTTAATTTTTGTTCCCTCCCTCACCTATGGTCATGAGCTGTGGGTAATGACCGAAAGAACGAGATCGCAATGAGGTCGAAATGAGCTTCCTCCGCAGAGTGGCTAAGCGCTCCCTTAGAGATAGGGTGAGGAGCTCAGTCACACGGGAGGAGCTCAGAGTAGAGCCGCTGCTTCTCCACGTCAAGAGGAACCAGTTGAGGTGGCTCGGGCATCTGTTCCGGATGCCTCCTGGACGCCTCCCTGGGGAGGTGTTCCGGGGAAGACCCAGGACACGCTGGAGGGACTATGTCTCTCAGCTGGCCTGGGAACGTCTTGGGGTCCCCCCGGACGAGCTGGAGGAAGTGTGCGTGGATAGGGAAGTCTGGGCGTCTCTGCTTAGACTGCTGCCCCCGAGACCCGGCAACGGATGAAGCGGAAGAAAATGGATGGATGGATGGATGCCTCGCTAGTGTGTGGGCCTGTGTGCGTTTTGGGAGATATTTGCAAGGTATGGATAGTTTTGTGTTACATACTGATCACAAGCCACTTGTTCCACTGATAAACATATATGACTTGGATAAAGCTCCAGTTAGGTGTCAGAGTGTACACCTAAGAGGTGTACCCTGTGCCTTCGGTACAAAAGGAGATGGGGAGGGGGCGGAGGCAGAGCTGGATGAGACGTGGGCCAGCCGCCAGACACGGGAGGGGAGTGCTCCGTGATCTAGCGGCCATGCAGTATTTTTAGCCTCTGTTTTTAGTCAGTTTTTTTTAGCTTAGGTTTTATTGCATTTATTCATTTACTTATATTTTAATGTATTTATAATAAATTGCTTTTAATTCGCTTTTAATCCAGAGGTCCTTTTAAAATCCGGGTCCAAAGAACCTGCTTTTTTTACACATGTGACATTTTGGCATTGTCTGGCAAGACCTGGTACCACTGTTATATAGAGGCTAGGGCTGGCCCGGAGGACGTGACCGGGCGCCGAGCTGGGCGCTGGCAGCTGGGTGGGCCACCCCAGATCCAACACAGAGGAGCACCACATCCGCGACCTGGAGAGAGAGCACCACGACGCATGATGCAAGCAGAGGCAGACATGAGGTCTGCCTCGCTTGTGAGTATGGGCATGTGGTGTAGTGGTGCTCGTGGAAGGCCTACGGCCCCAGGGTCGCGGGTGCGTGGATTTGGGGCTGGCCTCTGATGTGTTTGGTGCAGGTGGGCCCGGCAGCAGCGGCAGGCGCGGGAGTCGGCGGCCCATCCGTGATTGGAGCACGGCAGAGAAACGCGGCAGTGGCTCCGGAGAGACGCGGGACGCAACGGTGGCTCTGGAGAGACGCGGGACGCGACGGTGGCGCGCCGGTGGCCCCGGAGAGACGCAGGACCTGGCGGAGGCCCCCCGAGAGGCGAACCCCCTCCCCAGTGATGGAAAGGCACAGGTGTTCCGAACTAGCAGGGACTGCTATTGTTAAAGCAGGGGGGGTGTCAGGGGGTGCAAAATGGGTGGTGGGTTTTACTAAGGTTTTATGTTTTTATGCATGTTGTGTGTGTGGTTTTTTACATTGTGTTTTTACTTGCACCACCTGAAGCACCCTGGCTCCCCACGTGACAATAATTAGGACACCTGTGCCTTGGGTACAAAAGGAGATGGGGAGGGGGTCAGCACTAGATCATATACGGAATCGGGACGGAAGCGGAAGTAAATATAACAAAATACCTATTCATGCCTAAACTTAACCAGCCATTCCCATAAAATAACCCCAACCCACCCTTAACCCTAAACTTAACCATCTTAATTAGATGCCTAAAACTTAACCAGTCACCACTTAAGGACTTTTTAGTCTAAAACTAATTTGAAAGTAGGATTGTTACTTCCGGTTTCGTCCCGATTCCGTATATGATCTAGTGCCGACCATGGGGAGGGGACGGAAGCAGAACTGGATGAGACGTGGGCCAGCCGCCAGACAGGGAAGGGGAGTGTCCCTACATAAGGATAACACAAAACAGGAACAAGAACCTATATGGAGGGGATGGGGGATCAGGGAGCAGAAGATCCATGCACTACACCCATCAGGAATCAGACATCGTCGGTGGGGAAGGCAGTGGCGGCCACCCTCCTGTTGCTAGTGTTATGGTTTTCATTATAATTATTAATATTATTGTTAATATTGATGGTGGTAGTGGTATTAGTATTATACATATTATTACTATTTATTCTTTAATTTTTTCTCTTTTTATATTTGTAAGCAATGCACATGCGCACACACACACACATTCACACACCACGCACATGCACACACATCTACACAAAACTTTGTTCACTGTCCCTGTCTGTATTCTATGTATTCTTGTATGTCTTGTACCGTGTATGCTTGTCACTTACCTGTCTGTTTTTGAATTTTGTATTGTTTAAGTAGAATAAAAATTAAAAAAAAAAAAAAAAAAAAAAAAGGAAGGGGAGTGTCCTGTGGTCTGGCGGCCATGCAGTATTTTTAGCCTCTGTTTTTAGTCAGTTTTTTTAGCTTAGGTTTTATTGCATTTATTAATGTACTTATATTTTGATGAATTTATGATAAATTGCTCTTAATTCGCTTTTAATTCAGTGGTCCTTTTTAAATCCGGGTCCAAAGAACCTGCTTTTTTTACACATGTGACACTAACATGTCTGTGTGGTGGCCCGGCGTTGGGGGAGACATTGTAAAGCTTGTGAGTACATGCGAGTTTTGTATTAAAAACAAACCCACTCAAAGAAAGGAGCCCCTTATTACTACTCCACTGCCAAAGGGTGCTTGGCAAAAGATAGCAGTTGATTTGTATGAGCAAAACGGTCAACAGTATTTAGTAGCCACAGATTATTATTCACGCTACATTGAGATTTCTTATTTGCTTACAACAAGTAGTAACCAAGTAATTACACATCTCAAGTTTATGTTGGCAAGTTGGGGTATTCCTTTTGAGTTGGTATCGGACAATGCACACCAGTTCACCTCAGCAGAGTTTCGACGGTTCATTGAGACATATGACTTTGAACACACAAGATCTAGTCCTCACTACCCGCAAGCAAACGGAGCTGCTGAGAGGAGCGTTGCTATAGCCAAGAGGATCCTGCGTCAACCAGACCCGCAACTTGCACTTTTGAGCTATAGAGCGACGCCTATCACTGCGACAGGTCACAGTCCAGCTCAATTAATGTTTGGACGAGAGATCAGGACCACAGTGGCAGTGGTTCCACAACAGCTATGCCCTACTGCTGTTGATAAACAAATGGTTAGACTAAAAGATCAACAGGCTAAGTCTTCTTACCACTTCTTCCACAACCGACGTCATTCAGCCAAGGCTTTGAAAACGCTGCAAGCTGGTCAAAGTGTTTCTGTTAAACTGGATGGGGAGAAGGGCTGGAAAACTTTGGCAAAAGTCATCGCAAAAGCGCCAGAGCCCAGATCCTCCATTGTCAGAACTGAACAAGAAAAGGGGGGCATTTACAAGAAGTGCCTGAGCCAGCAGCTGAGCTGACTGCAACAGAGACTAGTGACTGTGAAATGACTATTCCAGAGGATACAGATGTGCTGCCTGCTGCCACCAGTGCATCGGTGCCCTGTGTTCCCACTAATTTAGGGGCATCCCCAAAGAGGACCTCTGCTGGTCAAGTTGTTAGGCCGCCGGTGAGGTTCAAAGACTTGAAGAATCTGTTTTTGGGTCAATAACAGTACAGATGTTTGATTGGTTATTCATTATTGAAATAAAATTTTACAGCAGTTTTATTGTTTTATAACTGTGGAGCTATTTAATATACACAGCTAAACGATAGCAAATGTTAATTATTCATGTTATACTGTATAAACGAAGAAAAAATCTTATTGTTTGAGGGGAAACTGCTGAAGAGGGGAGATGTGATGTTATGTAAAGGTGATCCACTATATGCTCCACTAGGGGGCATTGTTGTAGTGCTTTTGACGAGCCTGGGGAGAGTTGGCAAGTGTTGAGTTTTGGATATGTACAAGTGTGGTTCACGCTGTTACCTTGTTGGAGCATCTCTGTTATTAAAATAGACTCAAAGCAACTACCATGAATCAGTGATTTCATGACAGCATGGACAAGGAGGTGCAATTTGAAAGTTAAATACAATGTAAGGCAATTATGAAGCGTGTTTGCCATGGAAGGAAAATGTGCATGATTTATTTTAAAAAAATCAATAAATAATGTATTAATTATGTTCCCTTGTAAGATGTCCCCTAAAAAGTGATGACACATATAAAAGTAAATAGCATATGTCATCATTCTTTCTGACCTCATGGACACCCTGTCTCCTCGTTGTGATCTGCGTTATCTCCCTGAGCAGTCGTAGGCGGAGTCTCCTGGGCTGACAGGCAAGGCAAGTATCTCTCGCTCACACTCGCCCCTCTCCTTCGGTAATTCGCGCTGGCTGTGTCCGTACCCTGGACTGTACTGAAGGGCTGCAGGCTGTGACAGAAGTGCTAACCCGCTTACCACGGTGAGTCATCACATCAGAGGCATATGGACAATATATTACTTATATTAGAGTAGTTAAGCACTTTTTCCGCGCACTTTATCAATGGATGATGCGTAATCAGCCGCGCACAAGCATTGCCACTCCTCCTCAGTGCGCATCAACATTACAGTGACTTTTTTTTTTTTTACAACTTCTATTCTATTTCCGTACGCAGGGCTTTGGTGCCGTGCTGGTTTGCCCTGGGCTGATCTTAATAGTGAGCAACGCATTGCACCTAACTTAATATAAAGGCTATGTACAGTGTATGGCAAGATTAATATATCTCACACAGACACACACACACACACACAAGAAAATACCTCCTTTGGTTCAAAATCTTTTGAGTTGCTGCTAACTAGAACGCGATTATGCCAACAGACGAAATGAGACATGTCAGCTAAAAGAACCAGCGACCAATATTTGATCACGTAGAGTGTTTGAAGTCGTGGTACGTGCGCTACACGAACGCAGCAGCCAAACGCTGCATAGGATAAAAGCGTGAAGACCACTGGGTTACAAAACACAGCGTGCTGATCTAAGTCAAGCACCGCGCGAGTGGTAGCTGATTCATGTCAAAGATATAAACAAGAAAAATTTCGCTCAGATCTGGGAAAAAAGTTGGGTCAGAGGCAGGCCTCTCGTTTCGAGTGTCGCACGCTGCGGGCTCCAGAAGTCGCACACCGCGCCAATTGTGACAAGAGGCCTAGTTCTGGAGGCACTCTCTGTTATTAAATAGACCAATAAGACAACTACCTAAATCATGAAAGTTCAGACAGCATGGACAAGGAGTGCAATAATGAAAGTTAAATACAATGTAAGAGCAGTTATGAAAGTTGTTTAGCCCGCATGAAGGAAAATGTGCCATGATTTATTTCTAAAAAAATCAGAAAAATAATGTATTATAATTATAGTCTCACAATTGTAAGATAGTCACCTAAAAAGTGATGACGTACATATAGAAAGTAATAGCATAATACCATAGTCATCAATTCTTTCTGACCTGCATGACACCCTGTCAAAATCCTGCCGACAGATTGTGATTACTACGTTAACATCACTGAGCAGTCGTAGCGGAATCTCCTCAGGGCTGACAGGCAGAGAAGTAATCTCTCGCTCACAAACTCGCCCCTCTCCTTCGGTAATGTCGGCGCTGGCTGTGGCCGTACCCTGGACCATGTAAATGAAGGCTGCAGCTGAGGAAGCGAAGGCTAACCCGCTTACCAAAGGTGAAGTCATCAACATCAGGAGGCATATGGACTAGATATATTACTTATATGTAGAGTAAAGTTAAAGACACATTTTCGCGTCGCCACGGAGAGATGGGGGGGTCGTTAGCGGGGGGGGGGAGGAAGGGGGGGGGGGGGGGGGGGGCTGTAGTTGGGGGGGGGGGGGGGGGGGGGGGGGGGGGGGGAAAGATTTGTGTGTGTTAAGAAGGGGGGGGGGGTAATCTTGTGCGTGTGTAAGGGGAAGGGATGGGGGGGGGGGGGGGGGGGGGGGGGGGGGAGGGGGAGGGGGGAGGTTGGGGGGGGGGGAGGGGTGGTTTGGGTTGGGGGGGGGGGGGGGGGGGGGGGGGGGGGTTTATGTTTGGTTTTGGTGGTTTTTTGTTAATTGAGCGTATTGTTGGAGTGGTGTGTGGAGTGGGGGGAGGGGGGGGGGTGGGGGGGGGGGGGGGGGGGGGGGGGGGGGGGGGGGGGGGGGGTGGGGGGGGGGGGGGGGGGGGGGGGGGGGGGGGGGTTGGGGGGGGGGGGGGGGGGGGGGGGGGGGGGGGGGGGGGGGGGGGGGGGGGGGGGGGGGGGGGGGGGGGGGGGGGGGGGGGGGGGGGGGGGGGGGGGGGGGGGGGGGGGGGGGGGGGGGGGGGGGGGGGGGGGGGGGGGGGGGGGGGGGGGGGGGGGGGGGGGGGGGGGGGGGGGGGGGGTGGGGGGGGGTTGGGGTGGGAGGGGTTTTGTAAGGGGGGGTGGGGGGGGGGGGGGGGGGGGGGGGGGGGTTTGTTGGGGGGGGGGGGGGGGGGGGGGGGGGGGGGGGGGGGGGGGGGGGGGGGGGGGGGGGGGGGGGGGGGGGGGGGGGGGGGGGGGGGGGGGTGATTTTGGAGGAGGGGTTTTGGGGGTTGGGGGGGTGGGGTGTTGGTGTGTTTGGGGAGTGGGGGGGGGGGGGGGGGGGGGGGGGAGTGTGGGGGGGTTTTGGGGTTTGGTTTGGAGTGGGGGCGGTTTGTTTTTGGTTTAGGGGGTTGGGGTGTGAGGGTTTGGGGGGGTGTTTTTTTGTTTAGAGGATTTGGTTTTGTGGGGGTTTGGTTTGGAGGGGTGTGTTTTATGAGGGATGTTGTGGTTTGGGGGAGGGGGGGGGGTTATTTTTTTTTTTGTTTGGAGGGGGGGGATGTTTTTGAGGAGGGGGGGAGGGAGGGGGGGGGGGGGGGGTTTTTTTTAGGTGGTTTTTTTGTGGGGGGGGGGGGAGTTTTGTTTTGTTGATTTTTTGGAGGGTGTGGTTGTTGGGGGGGTTTTTGTTATGGAGGGAATGGGGGGGTTTGAGGGAGTGTTTTTGTGGGTGTGCTTGGGGGGGGGGGTTGGAGGGGGGGAGTGTTTGGTTTGTTGGTGGAGGAGTGTTGCGGGGGATGAGGGGGGGAGGAGGGGGGGGGGGGGGGGGGGGATGGGGGGGGGGGGGGGGGGGGGGGGGTGGGGGAGGGTTTTTTTTTTTGGGTTATGGGATGTATGGGGGGGGGGGGGGTGGGGGGGGGGGGGGGGGGTGGGGGGTGGGGGGGGGGGGGGGGGGGGGGGGGGGGGGGGGGGGGTTTTTTGTTTGGGGGAGAGTTGGGGGGAGCGTGTAGGGTTGATTTTGTGGATTGGGGAGAGTTTGTTGGTAGGGAGCGGGAGGCGAGAGGTGTTGGGGTTTTATGGGGGGGGGGGGGGGGGGGGGTGGAGATTTGGTTTTGTTTTATGGGGGCGGGGGGGGGGGGGGGGGGGGGGGGGGGGGGGTTTGTGTTGGAGGTTTTGTTTTTTTTTTAGGGGGGGGGGAGGGGGTGTGGTGTTTCTGTAGAGAAAATTATTTAGGATGTTTGGGGGTTGGTGAGGTTTTTTTGGATTGTGCATTTAGGGGGGGGTTTTTTGGTTTGAGGGTTTTTTTGGTTTTTAGTGGGGGGGGAGGGGGGGGGGGGGAGAGGGGGGGGGGGGGGGGGGGGGGGGGGGGGGGGGGGGGTGGGGGGGGGGGGGGGGGGGGGAGGGGGGGGGGGTGGGGGGGGGGGGGGGGGGGGGGGGGGGGGGGGGGGGGGGGGGGGGGGGGGGGGGGGGTGATGGGTGTTGAGGAGAGGGTTTGAGTGTTGTTTGGTTTTTGGGGAGGAGGTTATGGATTGGGGGGTTTATTGGGTGTTTTTTAGGGGGGGGGGGGGGGGGGGGGGGGGGGGGGGGGGGGGGGGGGGGGGGGGGGGGGGGGGGGGGGGGGGGGGGGGGGGGGGGGGGTGGGGGGGGGGGGGGGGGGGGGGGGGGGGGGGGGGGGGGGGGGGGGGGGGGGGGGAGGAGGTTGGGGGATGGGGGGGGGGAGGTTGGGTGGTGGGGCGGAGGTTTGGGTGGGGGGGGGGGGGGGGGGGGGGGGGGGGGAGGGAGGGTTGTTTTTTGAGGGAGAGCGAGGGTGGGTTTTTTGGTTGGTGGGAGGTTTTTGGGTGTTGGTGGGGGAGGGTTGGGTGAGTGATTTTTGGGGTTTTTGAGGGGTATTGGGGGGGGGGGTGAGGTTGTTGGTTGTAGGGAGAGAGGGTTGGGGGGGGGGGGGGGGGGTAGGAGGGTTGGTGTTTTGTTATGAGAGGGAGGGGGGGGGGGGGGGGGGGGGGGGGGAGGTTGAGAGGAGGGGGAGGTTGTTTTTTTGAAGGTGAGTTGGGGGGGATATGTAAGGGGGGGGGGGGGGGGGGGGGGGGGGGGGGGGGGGGGGGGGGGGGAGGGGGGTTTTTTGTTGGGGGGGTGGGGGAGGAGGGGGGGGGGAGGGGGGGGAGGGGGGGGTGTGAGGGTGTTTTGTGGGGGAGGGAGGTGTTGGGGGGTGAGGGTGTGTGGTTTTTTTTGGGGGGTTGGGGGGGGGGGGGGGGGGGGTTTTTGGTGGGGGGGAGGGGGTGGTTGTGGTGGGGGGGGGGGGGGAGGAGGGGGTGAATACCTGCCTCTCCTTGGGGGGCGATAAAGGGGGGGGGGGGGGGGGGGAAGTACAAAGGTGGTGTGAGGCGGGGGAGGAGATAAGGGGGGGGGGGGGGGAGGGTGGGGGGGGGGGGGGAGGGGGTTTGGGGGTTGGGGTGGCGGAGGAGGGGGGGAGAGGGGATTTGGGGGGGGGAGAGAGAGGGAGGAGGAGGAGGGGGGGGGGGGGGGGGTGGGGGGGGGGGGGGGGGGGGGGGGGGGGGGGGGGAGGTTTGGGGTGGGTTTTATTTTGGTGGGGGGTGTATGAGGGATGGGAGGGGAGGTGAGGGGAGGGGATGGGTTTTGGGGGATGGGGGGGGGGGGGTGAGTGAGGGGAGGGGGGGGGGTTTTTGAGGGGGGAAGGGGGGGGGGGGGGGGGGGGGGGGGGGGGGGGGGGGGGGGGGGGGGGGGGGGGGGGGGGGGGGGGGGGGGGGGGGGGGGGGGGGTTTAGGGGGAGTTTGTTAGGGGTGTGGGGGGGGGGGGGGGGGGGGGGTTTGGGGGGGGATTGTTGTGGGAGGAGAAGGGGAGGCGGGAGGGGGGGGGGGGGGGGGGGGGGGGGGGGGGGGGGGGGGGGGGGGGGGGGGGGGGGGGGGGGGGGGGGGGGGGGGGGGGGGGGGGGGGGGGGGGGGGGGGGGGTGTTGGGGGAGGGGGGGGGGGGGGGAGGGAGTTGAGGGGAGTGATTTTAGAATGGGTTGGAAATAAAAAGGGGGGTGGATAAAAATATTGGTGGTCGAGTATATGTATTGGGGGGGGGAGGGGGGGGGAGGGAGGCGGAGGGGGGGTGGGTGGGGAGAGAGGGTTTATTGATTTTTAGTAGATTTAGGGGCTGGAAAAGTAATTTTGAAATCCAAATAATTCTGCTGAACGACTGTTATCAGTTAAATAAGTATTAGATCATGGCTTATTATTGCCTTTTGACAGATTAGGGCCATTTAATGATGACTTCACATGAAAATCTTACATATTGGTACATTAAGATTGTCGTGCGGCAAAAACGGCCTGAAAAGCCACAATGTGATACCCAGCTTAAGGTAGCTCCGCATGAGGAGTACTGCCTCTATTACTCTACTAAAAGAGTATACATGTATAGTATAGTATAGAGTACCGTATATAGAGGCAACGCAAGGGACTTCTTTGTAGCCTCCATCTGCAAGACACATTTTGTAACAATTCGTCACTTTGCCAACGGTGACAGAGATGGCGAGGACTGTGACTGTTGTTCCAAGATTATACATGGTGTCATGTTGTGGGCCTCATCCAACAAAACAACTCCAGTGTGCTTCTCTTTTGACTTCACCAGACCCATTGAGCCATTGCAGCTCCTTATCAATTCACACTGGCGTCTGCAGACTGCTGCTGGAGCTGCTTTAAAAGTCATCAGACACTAATCTACCCAGACTGTACGAGGCCTGCGTTTTCACCCGGGTGTCTGTCACAAGCTGTTCCCGTCAGCAGGAGAATCGCTTTGTCGATTGTAGACTTCATCCCCCCCGCTCCTCCGAGACCTGTCCCCACGCAGACGTACAGTGAGCGAAAAGCAATTGGCTGCGACCTTCACCGATCGGTACGGCCCGGCTAATGCGACGAGATGGAGCGGGAGGCAGAGCGGGGCTGGGGGCCAGAGGGGGGGGTGGCGGTGATGAGGGACGGGGGGTTGAGGGGAGGCCTGATCAATGGGCGTCTTGTTAGCGCGCAGGAAAAGGCCACTATAGCCGCTCGCAGGTGTAGTGTGGGGGAGATGGGATCGAAGCGGAAAGGAGCTTTTTCTCCCAGCGTCTGACGGCTTCACTGCTGCCACACTGCAGGCTCTGTGGCTCTGGGGCCTCGCGTGTGTGGACTGTGGGGACCAAATGAGGAGAAAGATTCAACTTGATTCAAAGAAATTGGTATTCCACATCAAAAAAAGCAAAAGGAACACTCCAAACTTTACATCTGTGCACACATCTATCTCCTATAACATGCTTTGTAGGCTATAAGCATATTACATTACAAAATATCTGGAAACTTTAGTGTTGCGCCAGTTGACTGTTTAGATCAGGTTACTGCACGGACAAAAGTACAGTATTGTATTCTGTGTTTCAAATGTTTAGACAATAATATAACCACGAGTAATATACACAAATAAAAACAGACATCACTGCAAAAAGTGAAGAAAAATAAGTCAAAAAATCGTTAAATTTGGCAAAATCTATCATTATTTTAGAACTTTTTGACCTGTCTTAAAACAAGATTTGCCAACCGGTTACAAAGTTATCTTGTTTTAAAGAAATACAGGACAAGCAGCAGTCCTTCTTGATAAGATAAGATCAGATAAAACCATTACACAACGAAGAAATTTGAATGTCATTGTTGCGCAGAATAAAAGGAAATTAGAGCACACATTAAACAGGATTTTTTTCAGATATAGATCAGGGGTGTCCAGACTTTTGAGTAAGAGGGCCATTTCAATATGTTAGTGCTAATACTCTTTTTGTTGTCGTTACGCGTTTTGTTATGTTTTGTAAATTTGTCTAAGTTGCTTGTGATTATAGGGACCTAATTGTGTCTATGCCCACTTTTTTGCTCAAAATAAATAAACAAATATATAAAAAAATATTAAATGACTATAATATATAAGTAAGAGGGCCACTTTAGTTCATCAGACTTAACCTGGGGCCGATAAATCTGGATTTAAAAACTGGATTGGAGCTGGACCGACTGGATTCTGGAATTTATAATCTGTCCTTATTGAGTCACGCCTGCATTTTATTTAGAACGTTGTGACACAATCATAAAACAAATGTCAGTAAATAACAATAACGCCAACGAGTGGATTCCAGAGGCTCTGAGGTGTACAACAAGGTATAGCATGCCTGTATTGGTGGAGCTGAAGTTGGCTGGATGACACTGTGTTAGCAGCAGAGGGCCGCAATTGGGTTTGGACATGCCTGTTTAATAAATAGTACAACTCTGGAGGTATGATTGCACTTGGTTCAGGGATATGTCACTAGTGGAGGACACGCAGCATCAGGAAGGATTTACAGATGTTTTTATCGTATTTTAGCAGCAGATAAAGTGACCACAAGGCAAAAAATGATAAAATATGAGGTAATAATAGCTTGAATCAAGGGGTTTCAATCTTAATCGTTGTCTTTGTTCAAAAACGGTTGCTTTACTTTCTCATCTTTTTAAAACAAGATAATTTTACGCATTGTCCTGTTGTAAAATCTTGCTTTAAGGCAGTTAGAATGAGCTCAAATTAAGATACAATTTGCATATTTTTTAAGACTTATTTACTTTTATTATCACTTTTTGCAGTGTAGCGAATCACCAGAATGTAGTTAATTTGGGAATATTCTCAAATTAAGATAAAAAAAAAAAACCTTGATCCAACACTGTAGGACCTCAGTTTTTAGTGTAGTTTGAAAGATATAAATAAGGAGTGTGTTGCGGGTTGTGTGTCCGGTGCAGGTGCTGATCCGGCGGCGCCCCCTGCTGTACGTGGTGGGTCTCCTGGTGCCCAGCCTGTTCCTGATGCTGGTGGATGTGACTAGTTTCTGGCTCCCTCTGGACGGTGGGACCCGCATCGCCTTCAAGATCAGTATTCTGCTGGGGTACACCGTGTTCCGGGTCAACCTGACGGACGAGCTGCCGGCCTCCGCTCTCACCACGCCCATCATCGGTAACACTCGTGGACAGAGAAGGAACACTTATGTACAGCACAATATACACACACAAACACACACAGGCACACACACACACAGGCACTTGTGGACAGAGAAGTAACACTTATGTACAGCACAATATACACACACAAACACACGAACACACACAAGCACACACACACAGACACACACAGGCACACACACACAGACACACACAGGCACACACACTCAGACACACACAGGCACTCGTGGACAGAGAAGGAACACTTATGTGCAGCACAATATACACACACAAACACACACAGGCACACACACACAGACACACACAAGCACTTGTGGACAGAGAAGGAACACTTATGTACAGCACAATATACACACACAAACACACACAGGCACACACACACAGGCACACACAGGCACTTGTGGACAGAGAAGGAACTTATGTACAGCTCAATATATACACACATGCATACAGACACGCACACACACACACACGTACACACAGAGACACACACACACACACACACACCTATGTACAATACAAGACACACACACACACAACCAATCAGCTCAAAAGGCTCAAATAGTGACTCAGAGGGCTCTTTCTTCCAAGTATGCACACAATATATACAATATATCACACATTTGATTTTTCCTTGACTTTCCTGCGGATTCAAACAAAATGTGTTATTTACGAGTCACAAAAGTTAGGTCCCCCAGCTTTACAGTTTTTTCCTGTTGCTTGAACACTATAGACATACGCTTAGACCAAAGTTGCAGAACTTGAAGCTTTTGTTCTAAACCTAAAACACAGACTGACCATTCCATAAACAAAAGTACTGCTTTGCACTCTACTTTCATTTCTACAACACACTTTCTCCTTTTGCAACACACTTTCTCTTTCTGCAACACACTTCCTCCTGCTCACTACACACTGTGTCATACATAAGACACTTTGTGCATATTGGCAATCCCGTGTTATCGTTGGGAAAACACATCTATTCAAAATACCAAACACATTGTGTGACTAAAAACACTGAGACACACACCAGAAAACACTGAATTACAAAATGCAACACACATCAGACAGACACAAACAGGCTTCAGTTTAGCCATTTTCAGAACTTTGCAAGTTTGAAGGCAGGAAGAGCAAGACAGAGGAAGACAAGGAGTTTAAGAGGATTAAAACAACACAATACTTTTATGACATTAGAGCAACTTTTGTGGATCTTGTGATAAACCACCGCCTCAAACTGAGGGAAGCAGAGAGTCCAGACAAGGTCCTTCAGGACCTACATGTTTCCAACACTCTACTGCAGACTGTACCTACAGTATTTACAGTACTGTATCACATGTACTGTAAGTCTCTACTGCAGACTGTACTACAGTATTTACAGTACTGTATCACATGTACTGTAAGTCTCTACTGCAGACTGTACCTACAGTATTTACAGTACTGTATCACATGTACTGTAAGTCTCTACTGCAGACTGTACCTACAGTATTTACAGTACTGTATCACATGTACTGTGAGTCTCTACTGCAGACTGTACCTACAGTATTTACAGTACTGTATCACATGTACTGTAAGTCTCTACTGCAGACTGTACCTACAGTATTTACAGTACTGTATCACATGTACTGTAAGTCTCTACTGCAGACTGTACCTACAGTATTTACAGTACTGTATCACATGTACTGTAAGTCTCTACTGCAGACTGTACCTACAGTATTTACAGTACTGTATCACATGTACTGTAAGTCTCTACTGCAGACTGTACCTACAGTATTTACAGTACTGTTCTGTATCACATGTACTGTTTTGCAAGTTGGCTATTGCTCCTTTTTGAAAAAAATGTAGTTTTGTGAAACATACAAGACGGTAAAGTACATAAAACTGAGATATAACAGTAATGTGTACATTTGTACTGTAAAAAAAATAAACCTATAGTAACAATTTGTGGTTTCATATTTATACAAAATGACTAAAAGAACATCCGGAGGTGGTCGGCAACTGTTCACCAACAACATGAACTTGTTCGTGGAAATAGTTAGACCATGAACCATGATCCATAATCCACACACGCACAACTGCTTAGTTTTACATTAGAGTTGTTTTGTTTTACTGCATTGACACAAATACAGTATACCGTAGTACTGTGATATACAGTATATTGTAGTACTGTAATGTGATGTACAGTATATTGTAGTACTGTGATGTACAGTATATACTGTAGTACTGTACTGTAAAGTATGCTGTAGTACTGTACTGTAAAGTATACTGAAGTACTGTACTGTAAAGTATGCTGTAGTACTGTACTGTAAAGTATACTGTAGTACTGTACTGTAAAGTATGCTGTAGTACTGTACTGTAAAGTATACTGTAGTACTGTACTGTAAAGTATACTGTAGTACTGTACTGTAAAGTATGCTGTAGTACTGTACTGTAAAGTATACTGTAGTACTGCACTATAAAGTATACTGTAGTACTGTACTGTAAAGTATACTGTAGTACTGTACTGTAAAGTATACTGTAGTACTGTACTGTAAAGTATACTGTAGTACTGTACTGTATTGAGTTGATATTATTTGTAACCTTTCAGTGCTACAGAGAACAAAAACAGTTCCATTGAGCTTCACAGAAAACTAACTGATAAACAGAATAAAAACAGTGAAAATGACTGCAGTGTTTTATATAAAGTACTGTAGTGTGTTGCTTTCAATCTGAAAGTGTGTTCACGTGATGCAAGTGTGTGTCATTTTGTCCTCAGAGTTTCATTTTGACGAATGATTGTTTAATTTTGAGAGCAGAGTTTGAGTTTTGATAGAGGAGTTTCATTTTGACACAGATGTGTCTGGTTTATGTCCCAGTGTTGTGTCAGGTTCTCGTGTGTGTAGAGTTTTGGGACTTTGAGCGAAATTTTGCAAACTGTGTTCAAGCAACAGGAAAAAACTGTAACCCCACCCCACACTTCCTCCTGTGCTCTCTGCAGGAGTGTACTTCGTGGTGTGCATGGCGCTCCTCATGCTCAGCCTCATCATGTCCATCGTGGGGGTCAAGCTGCTGCACCACGGGGGGCAGGAGGTGAGGGACATGTCGCTGTCGGCCTGTCTGCTGCACGCATACGCACAGACAGCAGGGGGCGCTCTCATATCCACAGACCCGCCCACGGAGCAGCTGCAGGACGGTGAGTGCGTGGATTCAGCAGTAAAATCAATTATTGCAAAATGTAACTTCTACTTCATCAGATATGCTTTTATACTTCATGTATTTTCAAAAATAAATTACTAAACGGGGCAATGCACAATTAGATTAGATTAAAGTCCACTGTCACGTTATTACCCGCTTTGTCCCAGACCCTCATGCTGCTAAATTTTACAGATTAATACATAAATTATAATTTCTTCCACTTGAATATACAGCATTTCACACTTGCTTCTTTATTTTTCTACAGTCAGAAATGTTATATGTTCTGTTTTGTAACTGTGGATTCAAGGATATCTTAATCTGAATCTTAATTATAGATATAATATAGAGTTGGACCAGAGGTGTCAAATATGCAGCAGAGAGATCCTTTTTAGTGGACCCAAAATGATTTTCCATTGTTATTTTTATTAATTCAAATTAGTTAAAAAAAATAAAAATAAAAAGTGAAAATTGTTTTGAGAGTGAGGAACTAGTTAGATGGAATTCATGGTATTATTCATGTTTTACCCTGTTGGGTAGACACTGGCATTTTCTCTAGAGAATAACTATAAAACAATTATCTTGTTTTAAAAAGATACAAAAAATGTCTTCCTTTGAATGAAAAAAAATGCAAAAATTCTTGAACCAAGATTTGTCCCATTATGGTCAGAATGTACTCACAAGATGAAAAACACTACATTTAGGCATTTATTACCTCATATTTTATCATTTTTTGTCAGTGAAATGAATGAACAATTCCATGTGAAGTGTCTTTGAGTAACAAGAAAAACACCAAAGTATTATTAAAGTTACGTAGGAGGGTTTTCTACTCCCGGGTGGATCGTCAAGACTATTGGTCCTCCCGATTGTCAATCATTCTGGTGACACGTGCTCGTCCAATAAGACCAGAGAGTTTTGTTTTAAAAGTGCAGAGGGCGGTTCTTTCCTATAACTTGGGAAAATCCTCCTGTAAACCTTTGATATCAGAGGAAATGTTAAAAGTACAGAAAAGTAACCATTTGATCACAAAAGACAAACTATACACAAATAATGCAGATCTGAGACCTTTCCTTTGTATGAATATAAAACATCATGAAGCAGCAGATTAATGCTTCTGTGTGTGTGTGTGTGTGTCTTTGTGTGTTTGTGTGTGTGTGCGTGTTTGTGTGTGTGTGTGTGTGCGTGTATGTGTTTGTTTGTTTGTATTTGTGTGTGCATGTATGTGTGCGTGTGTGTGTGTGTGTGCGTGTATGTGTGCGTGTTTGTGTGTGTGTGTGCGTGTTTGTGTGTGTGCATGCGTGTTTGTGTGTGTGTGCGTGTTTGTGTGTGTGCGTGTATGTGTTTGTTTGTTTGTATTTGTGTGTGCGTGTATGTGTGCGTGTATGTGTGCGTGTGTGTGTGTGCGTATTTGTGTGTGTGTGTGTGCGTATTTGTGTGTGTGCATGCGTGTTTGTGTGTGTGTGCGTGTTTGTGTGTGTGTGTGTGTGTGCGTGTATGTTTGTTTGTATTTGTGTGTGCGTGTGTGTGTGCGTGTATTTGTGCATGTGTGTATGTGTGCGTGCCTGTATGTGTGCGTGTATTTGTGCATGTGTGTATGTGCGCGTGTGTGCAAGCCTGCCTGTATGTGTGTGTGTATTTGTGTGTCTGTGTGTGTGTGCGTGTATGTGTGCGCGTGTGTGTGTGTGCGTGTATGTGTGCGTGTATTTGTGCATGTGTGTATGTGCATGTGTGTATGTGTGCGTGTGTGCAAGCCTGCCTGTATGTGTGTGTGTATTTGTGTGTCTGTGTGTGTGTCTATGTATTTGTGTAGACTACTCTCTGGAGGGCTCTCTGGAGGAGGACCTGCTCTCCCTCTCCCCGCCGCAGGACGCCCCCTCTGGCCTGGACTGGTTACTGCAGGAGCTGGTGGTCCTGCGCAGGGCCGTGTCAGAGCAGGACAGTGAGGGCTCGGTGCAGGCGCAGTGGAGAGCTCTGTGCCTGAAGCTGGACGTGCTGCTCTTCAGGGTCTACGTGCTGCTGTTCTGCCTGTACACGGGGACTCTGCTGCTGCTGTGGGCCGGCTGGAGCAGGGCCTGAGCCGCTCTCTCTCTTTACAATAAACATGTGCAGATTGTGATGAAGGAGACGACTTATGCTAAATTACCCGTTTCATTTTTCTTCAATCTTTTAACCCTGTTACAACATTGTTTTCTCATGGAGTTGGTTGTAGATCAGTCCACACCTAGCCTGGTCTTATCACACCATTGTACAAATTTCTTTTCGTACGAAGGTCTGGATTTTCTCCATTGAGCTCCGTTAGCAGGTGGTAGGTGTTAACTCCTTTTGCAGATTGAAATCTGGTCTGTGTTTACCGTGACGTATGTAACGCGCCCGAGTGAGTCCCTAGCATTTAGTATTTAGCCTAACTTTAGCATTTAGCTTAGCTTTAGCCATCTCCTTTGCCACTAATGCCGCTTTCAAATCAAAGTCAACGGTGATGCACGTTTGAGCGTGGAACTGCATGTGCGTCTCGGGATGAACACTCAGACGATGGTGCAGGAGCGGAAAATTGACGCACGCAGGAGATAAACATTGCTGGACGTTTCCTCGGGACTCTTGTGCAGCAACCAATCAGAGAGCCGCAAAGTAGTCACGGGGACATTAGTGTCTGAGCGAGAAGACTGAACATACTGTAAACAGCCAAAACAGGAGCTACACCAGGACTAAACCAGGGTTGACAGTGTGCTTGTGGATTTATGAGATTTCATGCTCCCGTGGTTGTATACAACTTCTCTGAGTGTGTTCGCCGATGCGGAAGTACCGTTTAATAATAAAATAAACGTATGGCGCACCTCTGTGAACACATACTGCTGTTAAATAAAGTCTGTGAAGGTCTCTGGACCCAGAGACGCTGCATTATCGGAGAAGAACTTTACACAAAAAGCCGCTAGCTTTACTCCGTTAGCATCAAAGTCCGCCCGCTACTTCCGCCACTTCCGCCCAGGACTTCTGGTCTGAAGACCCCTGCGTTTGAAAATCAGAGAATGTGAGTCTGGTGCGCGAGGCGTCAGCGTTCCAGCGTCGGCGTTCCAGCGTCGGCGTTCCAGCGTCGGCGTTCCAGCGTCGGCGTTCCAGCGTCGGCGTTCCAGCGTCGGCGTTCCAGCGTCGGCGGTCCAGCGTCGGCGTTCCAGCGTCGGCGTTCCAGCGTCGGCGTTCCAGCGTCGGCGTTCCAGCGTCGGCGTTCCAGCGTCGGCGTTCCAGCGTCGGCGTTCCAGCGTCGGCGGTCCAGCGTCGGCGTTCCAGCGTCGGCGTTCGCGTCGGTTCCAGCGTCGGGCGTTCCAGCGTCGGCGTTCCAGCGTCGGCGTTCCAGCGTCGGCGTTCCAGCGTCGGCGTTCCAGCGTCGGCGTTCCAGCGTCGGCGTTCCAGCGTCGGCGTTCCAGCGTCGGCGGTCCAGCGTCGGCGTTCCAGCGTCGGCGTTCCAGCGTCGGCGTTCCAGCGTCGGCGTTCCAGCGTCGGGTTCCAGCGTCGGCGTTCCAGCGTCGGCGTTCCAGCGTCGGCGTTCCAGCGTCGGCGTTCCAGCGTCGGCGTTCCAGCGTCGGCGTTCCAGCGTCGGCGTTCCAGCGTCGGCGTTCCAGCGTCGGCGGTCCAGCGTCGGCGGTCGAGCGTCGGCGTTCCAGCGTCGGCGTTCCAGCGTCGGCGTTCCAGCGTCGGCGTTCCAGCGTCGGCGTTCCAGCGTCGGCGTTCCAGCGTCGGCGTTCCAGCGTCGGCGGTCCAGCGTTGGCGTTCCAGCGTCGGCGTTCCAGCGTCGGCGTTCCAGCGTCGGCGTTCCAGCGTCGGCGTTCCAGCGTCGGCGTTCCAGCGTCGGCGTTCCAGCGTCGGCGGTCCAGCGTCGGCGTTCCAGCGTCGGCGTTCCAGCGTCGGCGTTCCAGCGTCAGCGGTCTGAATGCGCCATAACGGAGCCTGTGGGGAGTAGAGCCACAAAATCTTTGCAGCAATGACATTTGCTAAACATTCCTCTTGCTCCAGCTTCAATTTCTTTTTATTTGGAGCCAAACCAGAACGGATTACTTTACTATCGCATTCGCCGCCATTGCCAAACTATAACCAGCTAATTCGTCACAAACTCCCCTGCTCGCTGAATGGTCGGAGGGGATTCAACCGATGTCACTGCAGACACTGGGAGCAGGCCCAGATATACATGTGCGGAAATAATAATTTACAAGAGTTTACGGATGGCTAAGACCAAGCTAATCCACACCAAGCCCCGGTGATCCAAGATGGCGCCGTATTCAAATGAATGTTTGTGCTCTGTGGCGCATGTGCCGGCACGGGCGCCGGAACTCGCATGTATTTGGGCATCGTCTGGTCCTCCCAGTTCTGTGCAGTGGACGAGCTCCCATGATGCATTGTGGCAAATACGCGCGTGTGGCTCTCATGCACGTGCACAGAGGGGCTCGGCTGCGCTCTGACCAATCAGAGCAGTTCATCAGAGCGGAAGTTAGAGCGAGAGCCAAACCAGCAGAGTTTGTGGCAGTAAAGTGTGGATTTAAACAAAACTGAAGGATTTAAGAAGAAAAAGAGTTCAGGATGACAAGGGACACTAACATCCCCACAAGATCCGACCTTTATGAAAGCTGTAGGTTCTCTGTCAGCTGAGGTCGAGCTGTTTTAGTTTACATCGAGTTCTATGGGGAAAATTTCTGGGTAGCCCACGTTAATTAGTCTGGTTTAGTCTGGTTTAGTCCTCAGTACTGCGAGAATCCCCGAGCACATGGGTCCTCCAGCTCCAAGCTCGTAAGACCCTATCCAGTTATTAGAATAGATCCATGATCCACACCCATATCAGACACTTATTAAACAAATACTGGTGAAAATAGTCTAAAAGCCTCTGTCTCAGCCCTGTAATAATATGATGTCATTGCCACTATGACATCACACTTAGGGCAGTTTTCTGCCTTTTTAAAACAAAATACAAGCCATGCATTAATATTTGCTTTTCTTGCTAAAAATAATGTATATTCTTTTTTAAATGTCAATTGTAATGATTCACATGTCTATTGTAAATGCAAACTTAAACTGGGTGCACTAATAATAAATGGATTACATTAGAACACAGATGCCCTCTTCAAGAAGGGCCAGAGCCGCCTCTACCTGCTGAGGAGGCTCAGGTCTTTTGGAGTGCAGGGGCCACTCCTGAAGACCTTCTATGACTCTGTGGTGGCATCAGCCTCTTGTACGGTGTGTTCTGCTGGAGCAGCAGTATCACAGAGAGGGACAGAAAGAAGCTGGACAAGGTCATCAGGAAGTCCAGCTCAGTCCTGGGCTGTTCCCTGGACACAGTGCAGCAGGTGGGGGACAGGAGGGTCCTGGACAAACTAACATCTATGCTGGACCATGACTGTCGCCCCCTGCAGGACACTCTCTCTGCTCTGGAGAGCAGCTTCAAAACAACAACTGTTTTAAGCGCTTTGTGATTCTGGTCTGTGAATATTAATAAATATTACTAACTTTACTTCAGTGACAGACTTATTCTCGCTGTGGAGAGGAGAGGTTCCATAGGTCTTTCTTTGCTGTCAGACTGTACAATGAGAACTGCTGAGCCTGAACATGTCACTCATCCATCAGACTGAGATATAGCACTAATACATTTATCAGTGTCTGAATCAAGCTTCTGTCTGCTCCTCAAAAGTTATGTTCACATCCTTTTTTGTAATAAGATATTATAAATAAAATATTTCTTTATTACCTTAAAGGAGACTTGTGTGAAATTATTGTTTACTTAATAAAAAATGTTGACGTATTTCATGATTTATTATATTTAATGGTGGCATATTTAAGTTATTTTGTTAAACGTACTGAATGCAAGGCGTGCACCCCCCACCCCCCCGCAGAAACAACACGCCATCACCACTTTATGAACCTATATACTGTATATATATATATATATATATATGTATATATATATATATATATATATATATATAGTATATGGCATAGTGTACAGAAACATCTGTGCAGAGTATGGGCTGGAAACTCCAAGGTCTAAGTGGGAAACTCCTCCAAAGGTGGTGGAGAATGAGCGTGCAAAGATCCTGTGGGACTTCCAGATACAGACCGACCGAATGGTAATGAACCAACCTGACATCGTGGTGGTAGACAAAGGGCAGAGGACAGCCGTGGTGGTGGACAAAGGACAGAGGACAGCCGTGGTGGTGGACAAAGGGCAGAGGACAGCCGTGGTGGTGGACAAAGGGCAGAGGACAGCCGTGGTGGTGGACAAAGGGCAGAGGACAGCCGTGGTGGTGGACAAAGGGCAGAGGACAGCCGTGGTGGTGGACAAAGGGCAGAGGACAGCCGTGGTGGTGGACAAAGGGCAGAGGACAGCCGTGGTGGTGGACGTGGCAATTCCAAGCGATGGTAACATCCGGAAAAAAAGAACATGAAAAGCTTGAGAAATACCAAGGTCTCAGAGAGGAGCTGGAGAGGGCCTGGAGGGTAAAGGTGACAGTAGTGAGAGGGCCTGGAGGGTAAAGGTCACAGTAGTGCCCGTGGTGATCGGTGCACTCGGGGCAGTGACCCGAAGCTAGAAGAGTGGTTACAGCGGATCCCTGGAACAACCTCGGACATCTGGGTCCAGAAATGTGCAGTGCTAGGAACAGCAAAGATACTGCGCAGAACCCTCAAGCTCCCAGGCCTCTGGTAGAGGACCCGAGCTTAGAGAGGGATAACCGCCCACGGAGGGCCAAGGGTGAGTGGTAAATAAATAAAAATAACAAAAAAATTATATATATACAGTATATAGTATATATACAGTATATTGTATATATACAGTATATATATATATATATATATATATGGACTGCCATATATATATATATATATATATATATATATATATATATATATATATATATATATATATATATATAAATTGTCCACTCACCTTTGGCCCTCCACGGACGGTTATCCTTCTCTAAGCTCGGATCCTCTACCAGAAGCCTGGGAGCTTGAGGGTTCTGCGCAGTATCTTTGCTGTTCCTAGCACTGCACATTTCTGGACCGAGATGTCCGAGGTTGTTCCGGGGATCCGCTGTAACCACTCATCTAGCTTCGGGGTCACTGCCCCGAGTGCACCGATCACCACGGGCACTACTGTCACCTTTACCCTCCAGGCCCTCTCCAGCTCCTCTCTGAGACCTTGGTATTTCTCAAGCTTTTCATGTTCTTTTTTCCGGATGTTACCATCGCTTGGAATTGCCACGTCCACCACCACGGCTGTCCTCTGCCCTTTGTCTACCACCACGATGTCAGGTTGGTTTGCCATTACCATTCGGTCGGTCTGTATCTGGAAGTCCCACAGGATCTTCGCACGCTCATTTTCCACCACCTTTGGAGGAGTTTCCCACTTAGACCTTGGGGTTTCCAGCCCATACTCTCCACAGATGTTTCTGTACACTACGAACGGTTCGAATCCCACCGGGAGCACATTAACACCAACATCCAGTGAGGGTCCTTGGGCAAGACCCTTAATGCTACTGCCTAACTCATAACCATGAAGGTACAAATAAGCAATGAGATGCCGGATCAGCCGTCGCCCGGCCAAACAAGGTCTGCGTCAGGTGCTGGGGAACCAGAGCACCTTGATGAAAAGTGGGCTACTGGAACAAGGCGAAAGTGGGCGAGATCCGATATATATATATATATATATATATATATATATATATATATATATATATATATATATATATATGTGTGTGTGTATGATTCTAAAAGTTACTAATATCAATAATGAAGCAACATCACTTAGGCCACAGCAGCAGGTGAAGCAGCAACAGCTAAAAAAATAAGAAAAACAACGATTATAAAAGGCCAAACAACAACTGCTTCAGAGCTGCTCAGGATTTGCTGCTGTTTCCAGCGCATTCTAAAGTAAACCTTGTATTAGAATATATACTGTACACATATATCCAGGGCTGGACTATATTCAAAATGCTGCAGCCCGAGTCCTGACTAGAACCAGGAAGTACGACCACATTAGTCCGGTCCTCAGGTCTCTGCACTGGCTTCCCGTGGCCCAGAGAATAGACTTTAAAGCAGCTCTCCTGGTGTACAAGTCTCTCCATGGCCTTGCACCAAAGTACATCCATGATATGCTAGTCCCATATGAACCAGCCCGGACTCTGAGGAGCGCAGGGACGGGACTCCTGTTAGTGCCCAGAGTCAGGACTAGACAGGGGGAGGCTGCTTTTCAGATTTATGCAGCTGGAGTCTGGAACGGTCTTCCTGAGGATGTGAGACTGGCTGCCTCTCTGTCAATGTTCAAATCCATGTTAAAGACTTTTCTTTTTTCCCGTGCATACAACTAGAGAATTTTATCTTTTTAACACACCTTGTTATTTATTGTTGTAACTTTTTGTGTTTTTAACTATTTTATTGTTTTTAATTACTTGTGTGATTTTTATGTTTTTAAATTACTTATGTGATTTTAATGCTTTTTAATTACATATGTGTTTTTAATTGTATTTTAATGGTGATGATTTGTGCATTGTGTGGTGTGGACTGTGAGGCGCTTTGTGTTGCCCTGTGCAGGAAAAGCGCCCTATAAATAAAGATTGATTGATTGATTGACTGGCCATCGGGCGTACCGGGCAATGCCAGAAGGGCCGATGCCCATATTTGGGCCGGTCTGTCTGCCTCATACAAAACACATGTTTATGAAAAGTGTAAATCCGTTGAGAAATGTTCGAGGGGAGCGCGCGTGTCCGCGGGGCACCTGCTGTATGTACTCAAACGGGATTCCACCACCTCAGCGGCCGCAGTGTTCCCGCATCCAGCGGCTCTGAGCTGGACGCAGGAACCGCTCACCGGGAACCGCTCCACAACACGGTGAGCGCGTAGCTGCAACGTGACCATATACCCAAGACCATAAACGTGCACAGGACCATGCATGTCTTTGCGTAATTTGTGCACCCAATAAATACACCGCTGCAGAAAACAGTCCGCGTCTCCCCTCTCCTCAAAATTAAAGCTCGGGTACCTAAATTTTCCTTTGCATTAAAAGTTGATGTTTGAGCCCAAAAGTAAAATGTTGTGAACAGATTAAACAGATTTAGAGCCAGCTAATGGCTGACAATATGCATTTCATAAATGTTTACCAATTCTCATCCCTGTAACAAACAATAGTATTGTCTGTGTCCACCTCCTTCACTCTGAGACATGGTTATTGCTCTGTTTAATGTAGACTATTGTACTGTATTTTATTGATGAAACTGCAGACATCCTGATCCTCTACAGTATTTGCTTCCACATACTGTATAAACCAGGGGTCGGCAACCTTTAGTGCCCCTAAAGTGGCTCCTGGAGCCTTTTCAGACATTTTTGAAAAGGCTGTGTGAGGGCTATATTTTATTTCTAGTTTGAATGTGGTTTTTGTAGGAGGAAAAACATTCTTGACGTTTTTCAATTCTGCAAAAACTTGTATAAGTAATGTTCAATTTAAACATTTCTGTCAACGTAGTGCGTCATATTCTGTGACGCGGCCCGTGCCAGGCGGCCGCTGCTGTAAACAAACCGGCGTGTGTGCATTAAAGACTGTGTGTGCCCAAAGATAAAGAGAGAGAGTCGATAAGACTGGACTAAGAATGAGAATGAAAATTTGCTTTCAGTCAATGAGGAAGGACTGCTTCATGTTTGCGATGTAATGAAAAGTTTTGTTGCAACAGGAGGAACAATGAAGCTTTAACACTAGGACCGCCGCGCTCTCAACATACCTTGCACCGCCCCCTGCGGTCAGTTGACCGCTATGTATTTTGCGCTGATACAGCCTTTTGCCAAATTGATTGTTCACTAAACCAGAACTTGATGTTGCAAAGGAATCGTGATCATAATGAAACTGTGTAAATTATTTGTCTAAATATGCTAAGTAATTGTAATTCTAGCCGAAATAAAAGACTAAGACGACACATTGTGCGTGTACTGATCCATCAAAATTACGATGACTTTTCAGGCTAGATTTATTTTGTAACTTTGCAAACACCTAAAATGTCGGTCACTATATGTTATATTTGACTCAGTAACAATATGTAAATTCAAACAATATAAATTATAGTTTAGAAAAGCACGGGACCATAATGTCTTCGCGCTGCTATATGCGTCTACTTCTTACGTCATCTCCAGACTGTTTGCTCTTTCCAGCCGAAATCACCGTGGGAAATATTATCTAGATAATAATAATAATAGTATTCGTATTGACACAAGATCATCAGCTAGGCTACCATCGTCAATGTAAAATCTTCAATTTTACACGGGACACGTTAGAAAGACAAATATATGTATATGTATATTTGTATTTATTTGAGACACGCAGTGCTCTTTATGCTCAGAACAAAATTATAATCATTGCCTTGCAGTGCGCGCTGTGCAGAATAACACACAGTGTTATCTGGATGAAATAAGAATTATATCCTTATTGATATATGAGGGCCGCCTCTGCCCCACAGTCCCTCTCCTCCTGCAGGTGTCCGCGGGTGACGAGCACTCTGATCTGCACTCTGCCTTGATAGTTCATCTAATTGTTCTATTTTATTGCGATATTGTATTCTGCTTTATTGCCTTCTTGTATGTATAAATATAATAATGTAATTGATGATGAATGAAAAGGCAGAATGGAGCGACAGCGCGCACACCTGCGTATGGCTGGCATTACGCGGGTCATGTGCGTTATTGCTTCTGGACTTGTTACAACACTGCTGCCCGTGCCGTGAATGCACTATGGGTTTACGTTCAGATTTAGAATATTATAGGTGTTCTCCCCGCTGTCACTTTCTACCTCAAAATGTGACATCTCTCACCTCCGTCATACTGTTCTCATTCAATGTCTTGAAGCACTGTCAGGGCTTCATACCGTGTACTTGCAGCTCTATTCATTTTGTACTCCTCTCTCTCTCCCAAATAATAATAAAAAAGTCCCTTTAGAGTCTAATGACAACATATTGATACATTTTTATAAGGCGCGAAAAACCCCCGGGAAAGGTTACTATGACAACAGTCGCCCCTGCGCCATGTATCTCCATGGGGCAGCAGAAAGGGCTGTGGTTTAGAAAAGTTAAAATACGTGTAAATCTTGTTTTCTTTACTTTTTCCAAA